GGTATATATTTTCTTCTCACTCTGAATGTAAAGGATCAATGATTAGGACAGTTTCATGACAAACTAGCTTTCTTTTACATTTTTGTCATCATAATGCCGCCTGTGTCATCAATAACTCAACTCACCACTTGCAACAGAGCCAAATAGCCGGCCCCGACATTGTCAAAGTTGATTTTGACATTCTTCCAGCGGGCGCTGTCGTTGACCAAGTTCAGGCATTCGGTCTTATTGTTGACAACATCGATGGGGAAGGTCTCATCGGTGGTGGTGTTGACGCAGTAATAGTACTTCCCCGCAAACAGGTTGACGCCCATGATACTAAAGATGAGCCAGAAGATGAGGCACACCAACAGCACGTTCATGATGGAGGGAATGGCCCCCAGCAGCGCATTCACCACAACCTGGAGAGGTTGAAGCACAGACAAACTCAGCACTCTCCTGTCGGTCAAACGGAGGTCTCTGCTAGCAAAAATAGAGAGGCTGTTTGAGTTTAGATAAGTGGCAATTACAATCATCTAATCACTTAACTCTTAACCTGATTTGATTGAGCTGTTAAGCTGATGCTAAGAAGAGCCAAGACTAATTTAATAATTTAGTGTTCCTATATTATTTAAAGCTGTGTTTAATATGTAATGTCTGCACACATAAAGCTCTTAAAACCATACATATCTACAAAGAGAATCTAACAGCATGACAGCTGCAAAGAAGAAGGTGGACAGGTGAAAAAGTTAACATTTGATAGGTAAAAAAGCAAAACAGAAAAAAACCTTAGAGAGGCGGGATGAAGTCACAACATTTTGTTTGACTGTAAATGAAAAAAGACACACAACAAAGAAAATAATTACAGGTCAAAGGCACTACACAAGCAACGTCAGAACAGCTATATACAGTAATCCATTGACACAATGTGAAGAAAGTCATGCAGATAGAAGAAGTACAGTGTTGAATTGCAAGGAAAAGATAACTCTATAGTTGTAACAGGCATGCATGCTTTCAGTCAGGCCCCGGAACAAGATACAGTTTAAATAAACATCAAACATTTACCAATCCAGAGATACTGAAAGTGAAAATATAAAATATACTGTGGCAGGTCCCTTCAGCACCCCTAAGCAGACACTGAGAATGCTTTACAGCAAATAAAATGTATGTTTTATGTATGTATGTATTTTCTACTTATATCTGTCAAGGCAACAGCCTAGAGACAGTTAGCTCAGCATAGCATAGCATGGCTTTGTCATATATTTTTAAATTCACCTACGAAGAACTCTAAACTCACTAACATGTTGTATCTCATTTATGTTTCCCCTTGCTTCCAGTTTTAAGGCTAAGCTAAGGTAACCCTCACCTGGCTCTAGCTTCATATTGTATTTAGCGTACAGACATGAGAGCGGCATCTATCTTCTCATCTAACCTGGCAAGAAAGCATTTGAGGCAGTTAGTGGTTTAAAGCGAGAATAAAATTAACAGCTAATCGCAGAAACTGCACAGGTATGCTGGCTTTCAGCTCGCCCACAAACACTCATAATTTACAAGTGGGTTTCGTTTCGCATTCCAGATGTCCTTACCCTCATGCCCTCAAACCGAGACAGGGCCCTCAGGGGCCGGAGGGCTCGCAGTGTCCTCAGAGATTTGATGGCGGTAAGCTCAGAGTAGCCCAGAGCATTGGCTACAAGGCTGACCAGAGACACCTGAGAGAAGATCATGACAGAGAGAAGCAGGGTGAGAAATAAAAAAAACCTCTCTGTGCACAGTGCCAGCTTGAGTATTTGATATTAATTGGTCATTAATTGAACACAATTATAGAGATAATAAATCATTAAAAATGTTTAAAAATGAATGACAGAACTATGTGTAAAAACTGTGAACATCAGATGGACTTAATGGTATATATACCTATAAATATCTGTATGATATTAAAGAAGCATTTCACCCGTGGAAACATTAATCTTTATTGAAAGTGGGTTAT